CTCGGCCGCTTTGGTCTGAGGCGCCATTGATCTGCGCTGTCTGGGAAGTATTGCTGGTGTCGGATGGCACAAGCATGTCCGCAACCCTAATGCGCGCAAGCGAGCAGAAGGAAGTGATAATCAAGCTAGTTCCTTAGAACAACAGATAGCACTGAATAAGTTGCGTTGGATTAATCACGTACTAGGTATGCCAGGTCACCGCTTACCGAGGACAGCATTCTTTTGTTTTCCAGATGTACGGTTACGCAAGGCTCGAGGTAGGCAAAGGTTGACAGACGGAAAATAAAGTCACTGACTACAAAAGTGGGTGCTGTTGGTCATTCGCATCTTCCAGACTGGAGTCCATGTAACTCGAGACGTTACTGGGCACGGCTCGAAGTCAGCACCAGTGGCGTGTCTGCTATTGTTTCCGAGTTCGAATGCTTGTTTGAAGTGTGTTTGATACCGAGTTAACTGCGGGGTGATGGCTAATTGTGATGCGGGACAGTGGAAGTCGCAAGGAAGGTGAATCTCCAATGCCACCTTATCTCTGCACGATGGTCAGCTATTTGTGACGGTATGCTGTTGACAAGGTGTAGGCACTTTGATACTGGATGTTTGCTTAGGCCATTAAGGTTTCAGGCGAGGTTCCCCTTCGATCCCAACTACTGGCTCTTCCTTCCGTAGGTCATCATTGTTGTACGGCGGCGAAACATCGGTCTGAACGGTTGACGTACTGAAGTTGTTGTTGCTTGTTGAGGAACTCGTCACAAAGCCCTTGACTTAATAAGTAGTTCCATATCGCGGTGAGTAGCAGGTCCAATTTGGGACTGTGACTGCTGAGTCTCATTAAGAACTATCAGAGGCCGAGCACACACAACATGCTTGGGGGATTCAGTGCTGACAGAGCATGTATTTCAACCGCCGCAAAATGTGTACCTGTGACCATGGTATTCTGCAAGTTAGTATTTGTCAGTCTGTGCTTATCTGATTAGGGACTATTTGGCTTGAAGCCAGCGGCGGCAAATCAGTGAGCAAAAATGGTGATTTTTCATTGTCGAAATCAAGATATGACGCTTGTGTCTTACGTCAATCGGGATGAGCTTACAACTCGCGCAGGTATTCTTCTATGGCTGAGCTTAAGGGGAGAAGTGTAGACTTCACCAGCTCACCACCTGAAGCGGATGGTGGGACAAAATTGTTCTGGCTTCATAGCATGAGTGGTCCTGAAATCACTCGAAGAACGCCGACCAGCGTGCCTGAATGGAACACGGAGACATGCGATGAGCACGTCATCTGTACACACCACAGGCGAGTTTGACAGAAATGGGTGCGACTCCAGCTCTAGCCATCAACCGAGAAAGGTAGAGAACTACATATGCACGACCACACAGCGTTGAGTTCACAAAAAGCAGTAGCTGACGAGCTGCTCAAAAACACCGCTCGGAATAGCACGACGGATAGAAGTGACATGCAGACGATCGTAAACCGCCCAATTTTCGCCATGATGGAACTCGGCAAGTGCTGCTGGCTGATATTTCCCCTATGTTAGGTAAAGTACATGGGTGTCAATAATGTGCTTTTGTACACTCATAAGGGGTGAATTTTCAGCCGTAGCACACGTCATCGATATGATAAAAAGCGGTGATGTAATGGCGGTAAAATAGCAGCAAAGAAGTCCAATGAACAACCCAAATTGACTGGCAAAATCAACTGGTTAGTCCTTGGACGACAGAGTTCTGGTCAAACAGAAATCTGGCTAGATAGAGAATGACCGACGAACCGTAGGCCAGCATGCGGGTGTATATTGACCAGTACTTTTGGTCGGAAGATAAATAAGCTGTACAGCTAAACAGTGTACTATGTAGGAGGTGGCTGATATCAGTGAGTAATTTCGAAGCAAATTTTGCGGGAATGGTCATGGGCAGATACAGTTAGTTGACCCAAAATTGTCATTGGAATGTAACTGCAACAAGACAAGTGCTTCAGTGACCTGTCAATAAGATTGAAATGCTTGCTCGACAGGCCTAGAAGGATCAAAAGAGAGCAGTAAGTCCAGTGTGGCAAAATACAGGCAGCGATGGACTTCAAAATTAGGTTTGTGATACGGAGAATGATCGAGATCGAGAAACGTAAAACAACAGTCGCTTGACTTTAATGAGCACATCATTCACATAAGCGACCACGATGAATCATGGCTCAGACTGATCCCAAGATACTCCACTGAAATGGAAAAGCTCAAGCTGTCACCACCGATATGAAGTTGGAGAGAAAACATGAGAAGTTCCTGGTTATAAGGTACTTCATGAAGTGAAAAGAGAATGCCATTGCACTTGGATGTGTTCAGCATCAAACAGAGGGATTTTGACCACTGCGCATGTTCATCCAAACATGTTTGGAGCCTAGTTGACGGGGCTGAGCTCGGATGATTCGCGACGCTGAATACGTCACCAGCATATTTTGGCCAGATGGCTTAATCGAGACAGATACAGTATCAACGTAGGTAGAGAGTAAGAATGACAGAAGAGCGTCTTGAAGGGCACTGGAAGGTGTGGTAAGTGGCGAGGATCATCTGCCGCCAAACTTAGTGACCTAAGTGCGTTTGGCGAAACTTTCCTTTAGAGAAAGACTAGGGAAGGCTGAATACCAGAAGAATGAAGATAATATAACATCACAGCCATCCCTGCACTCTACACCGAAACCCTCCATTGCGGTGATGGTCCCAGTGAGCATATTAGCAGAGGCTGAATTCAGAGTTAACCGAGGCCACGATTGAGACTGCGTGTCGCAATCCATGATACATGGTGGTGATTCAAAAACCCGAAAAGCAAATAATGTGACATCAATCCATGGTTAACACAGCCGAAAGCGGTGCTGTAGTCGAGGAAGCAGATACGTGTGGACTTATTCTTACCGTCTAGAGAAGACAACACTAAGTGCACTAGACAAGTCTTGCGTGGATAATGAACTTCTATAAGTAAAATGATGTGGGTCATTTAGACGGGATCGGACCAGCATTCTTACACGAGTTAGTTTCTCAAAGACGTTCAAAGCTGCCGAAGTGCATGTGATAGGCCGATATTTACACGTCCCTTTCTTCTGTACTGATGCAACGTTAGCAATCCTCTAATAATCCTCGATTGTGCTTTGCACTGGGCACACTGATTACAACCCAGTCACAGTCCGGGATAAGGAATCCGCACACCCTTACAGGATGAAGATAGACTAGCTGCGCATGCCTTGCCTGAGTGTACCAAGGTTTGTTTGTTGTGCAGTGAAACAATGTCAACAGAAGATGATCAGTCCGTAGGTCAGTGAAACCGTACAGAGAATGAGTCTATTAGGTTAACGGAGTTTGCAACTTAATTCTTCTACGTCCACTCCAAAATTCGTGTCAACAGTGACTTCGTTCCGTTATTTCATCATCCGTCGGATCTCACGGAAACGTGTTTCCCATAAAACTGTCTGGATATAACTATGCAAGGTGATTCACCTCATCCTTAAAACGAGCAAAAAGGGATTTCATTAAAGTACGACATCCGCCTTTGAAAGCTCTCTCATTGAATCTACTAAGCTGCTTGTAGTGAAGAAAAGCTATCAGAACGGATGAAAATGGTTTCTATCGGACAGCACAGATCACAGAAGAAGTTTGGATAACTTGTCCCTTGGTCACAGTTTATTGATACATCTGTGCTGAAAAACAACCTGAGGTCCGTGGGGACAACCGGTTCCATAGTGGCGCTATGTTTGGAGGAGGGAATTGCCTCCATTCCCATCTACGGTTATTGCAGCTCGTGGTATCCCTGTAGAAAACAAGGATAGGCTGACCATAGAATGACCGGATCTCCCATGTGGTGCCCAATTGCAAATTGAAAATATCTAAAGAGACGTGCCTGGAATCTTTCGATAAGAAATTCATTTATTCATCTAAGACCAGAGTGGCCCCCAACTTGGCGGTAAATTTTACATTATCCTGCAGATAACGACCAATAATCACGAAACACCGTATATAATGTCTAACTATGGCTAACGTACGCCACCTCAATGGATGAAAGAAAAAGAAAGGCATCAGCAGTATGCCCGTACGCAGTACCGACGCGTCGCTGCCGCGCAACCATCACCGGTCGCACGTGGACTAAGGATACTGCGAAGGTCACCCTGCGCCCACGCAGGCTTGAACGCGAGCCGGCAGATTACAAGGCAAGCTCGTTACCTTTAGGCTACGGGACGACCCTACTGGATGAGAACAACGAAACCGAACACACCAGTGTCCAAATGTTCATCCCACATGGCTCAGTTGCGCTCGGTCACCCGCATTCATGCATTAAGAGCTTGCGAATGACAAGTCTAAGATTTTGTGACGCTTTCAGCAGTGTACCCAATTTATTCATAATCTTTTTAATTATGGTTGTTGCTTACTCTTAAGGCGGCGCCAGTCAATTCAACTAAAGCAACAGCGCCCAAACAGTTGTATCGTACCGAATACACTCGCAACCGCACAAAAAGTAGAACCAAAGTTGTAGTAAGAGTTCTCAAGGCACCCAAAATGCTGATGGATATATGGGAGATGAGTGATGCGGTATGGTCGAATCGCACGCAGCAAAGAACATGGTAGGTGTAAGTGCACCAATGTGTATATGCGCCTCGACGGAACTTCACCCAGAACATTCTGTAGAGACTAGCTAAAAGTGTATTTGAGAAGCTTAAAGTCCAGTCGTGAGGGGGAAATCCGGAGTAACACTGTTTAAACTTCAATGAGGACATTGTAGGATACATCAGCAAAAGTATATTACTGAACGAAGAAAGCACAACTCATAAATTCGGAAGGTTTAGGATACAAAGCGCTTTTGTACAGGCCCTAGTTGTGGCTACACACTAGATGGCATGAAGACTCGCGTCGAAAACGAGACGTGGCCACAGTAGATTCCCATGAAAAGCCGATTTGTATTTCAAAACCTTCCGAAGCTATGAGTCCCCAATTGAATGCAATTTTAATCCGAGATACTGGAAGTTCAACTTACTCTATAGAGCTTATATAAGTCTAGGTCTTTGTTTGCAAGACTTGGTGCTTTGTTAATGGGGGTACCTCCCTCATCCATGAATCGATACAATTGAGCGATCCAGCGATCACGTGCCTCAAAATCTACCGATGAGGGAGATGAGGACGAAGAAACAGGCTCCGATGATGAAGAACTGTCGGAACTTTGTGTTGAAGAAGAATCGGAGGGTTGGAGATCATTGTCCGATGACGAAGAAGATGAATCAGAGCCAGAGTCATCGGAACAATGGAGCTTATTTTTAGATACCCGTTTTGAAGTAGACAAGTGCTGTCTGTTACCAGTATGCTTCGTAGGCTCCGAGTCACTATCCCCATTAGATGAACATGACTTCTTTCCTGAAGTCCGTCTGAGTTTGAGGCGTTTTGGTTCCCTCTTCTTTAGTAAACTTCCGACAGTATTAGAGACTCTGGCGCGTTTACGAGCAGCGGTCTTAGAACCTACACTCTTCCTTGGAGTCGAGGTTTGCTTGCGAGAGGCTGAAAGATTAGAATTCATCTGGGACGAAATCGGTGGTGATAGACCATGGCTATCTTCACCTGAAGTTATTTCCGAAGAGTTTACATAAAGCCGCTTCCTTGATGCTCTTTCACTGTGAGGATGGGAACTCCGAGATTTATGATACTCACGCCTGGCCGCCCGCCAGTTTTTTGTACCCAACAGAGTTTGCATTGCATCTTCGCCCCAAGAGGCAGGAAGCTCGTACCGATCCAACCACAACAGAGCGCGTTCGAACGCATTACGAAGTGAAGGATGCGCGTGAGCAAGTTCCACTGCTCGAGGTCGCTTCAGCCGTTTTGCATAACGTGAAGGAACAGGCATAAAACGATTATCTCTGAAGGAACGAACCAAGAGGACAGGCGACTTCGTGCGCTTCCCACGAACAAAAGACACTGGTCTGAGATCGATGCCGGGCATCGCCGTAGGTAGCACGACTAGACCGGGAGTGAATCGGCGACGCGAGGCGGAATCCGAATTGACCGAGATGTTTGAGCTCACATTGGTGTCGTTGAGGTTAGAAGGCAAGCTGGCAAGGTCTGCAGAAAGAACGAAAATGGTAAATTGCGTTGCGCTGCGCTGTACAATAAACCAATTAACGACTGGTCTCAAATAGCCATCGCTGAAACTCTAAAAGAGCCATTCATCTATCTGACGCTACATATTGGGTTTTAAAGCTTAACGGGGTCAAACGTAAATCTAAGTTACTGAAATCACATACTGTTTGGACAATAGGACACAGAGCGATAGGAAACCTCTATGAAATAACTCCAAGGCCCCGTGGCAGAAAAGTCTTCATTTGTTAATTAAGGCCAACTGAACGTTTCCAAGATGGGTAGTAAAATCAATTATATTGCGGTAACAGGTACATTCAGTGAGGCTTGGCACTTTTCAGAGATTAAATCGACGGCCTCATCCTCCTATGAAAGGTTAATAGCGGTTTGATAACCGTTGGCCACCGTCATTCTGCCCGTCACCGCCAAAAACGAGAAGATAAGTGGAGGAATCAACCGTACTTTTCGCAGCAGTGATCTATCAACCAACAGCACACAGATGTTAGGACAACGTAGCTGAAGAATAACGCAGAATACGAAGAACATCTACGTTGCAATTTCGCCGCCTGCAGCGGTCTAGTGAAAGGAAATAATGCCAATAATGGATAAATATTTAAGGATCGCATGACCAGAGGCAGAATAATCCACAATTACGTTGGTCTGTGAACGCTGGTTCGGTTAGGTTCATTAGTCTGGAGGCCATCGTCATGGAATAGCAGAGTCACAACTCGACCGAGTGATTTCAATGGTGCCGGAAAATTTGACAGCTGGAGCGAAGAACGTGGTGTGCAACACTAAAAGTCATTTAATTGACTCAACGTTCGATAAACCACGCAAACCCTGTGCAGAAGAACCAAATTATGAATGAGCTAGCGGGTTGTACGGAAAACGTCTTTTGATTGATCAAGATGGCGAGTACATTGACCGAAACGTAAAGCAGCTGAGCGAAGATGGCTCTAGATGGTGGTAACGGCTTCATGAGTGAAATCAGATTTGTGATCAGATATTAGGTGGAAGGTGATCCCACAGTTTGTGCACATCGTATGGCTATGTAAACAAGCAGGTGAAAGCCGATCAAGCGGCTGAGAAGAAGGCGATGGCCGAAAAACAAAAGAAAAAAAGAAGTGAACCCCGAAACCCGTCAAAGAACCCTAATCCACTCTAGTTGCATTGCAGACATTTGTGTCTGCGCAGTAAACAAATGCGAAACAATTTACGTACTTGTGATATGAAGCCAACACAACGGCCCGTAACACAGAGTATCTATCTTTACTGTCCACAGCACACAAGCCTGTCTGTCGATAATAAATGGCGGAAATAGGAGGATAATATCCGAAGTTTGAAACGTAACAAGGTAGTTAGGAGTTATGGATGAATTTTTGGACTCGGTAAACTCAGTGACGTGCAACTGCCAGATTTCGGGTACCGGCTGAAGCCCAATTTCACGGGGCAATACTTCTCTGGAAACCGGTGGGTGGATAATGAGAACGGTGAGTAGCAAGCGAGTAAATAATGAAGGGAAGTGAGTGGTGATCAGTGCGCAGAAGATGAGATTGTTAACAGAGAACCAAAAACGGTGAAGCTTCAAGAGATGAACAAATTTCCAAATCAACGGAAGAAGACAGGGAAGTTTCTGGGTTGGCCGTTCCACGTTAGCAACATGTAGGGAGGTTGCTAGTCGAGGGTTAGAGTGCTCGTTTGAATGATGAGCAACGCTCGGTGGTAATGGAAACGAGGTGATGAAAGGGTTATTGGGGGGCTCGTAACTATAGATGAAAGATTATTTCAATATTACCATCTAGGGATAGCGCAGGGGTGCGAGTGATGAAAACTAGATGCCCCAAGGTCGATTTAAGCATTGTGACTCCGAGGCAAATGTACATGACAGTAGTGTCTTAATTCGGCGACAAACACGACTCAGTTCCAATGAAGGGACTTGATTCCAGCGACTACGAATCCACGGCTCACGGGATTCATGGTGTCGCGATCTGCCTCGGTGGATGTGCAGGGGCCGCTCCTTCGTAACAAATCGTAAGGGTAGATCGCGTGCACTACTCGAATTCGAAACTCCATTGGGATTAGTAGGCACCAACCGAATGCAAACCTGTCCCGGTCTATGAAAAGAAAGAATACTAAACTCTTGGTTCACGGCATCAATAGTGTTGTAGTCACTCACCGTAAACGAATAGCCAGAGATCTGTTTCAATGGGACCGAGCGAGCCGCTGCACCTGTGCGGTTCAAGTTCGGGCACCAAATGGATAACACTTTCTTCACATTATCGATAAAACTTCCCTGATTTGCCAAGAATCGGAAATGTGACCGAAGATCGCCTTGCTCGAGAAAGTAAGATTACAGATATCCTTATACTTGCAACTGACACAAATGGTCAAATGCATAGCTTGTCGGAACCATAATGATCACATAGAAGCCGTATGGGGGAAGGGCGTTTGTCGACCGATAGCCTCAGTAGTCGTCATCAAAGGTTTAGTGACGGTGAAACAGTTACCTAACAACACATGTCCGCATGGAGTCTTGGGAAGCCCACGAAGCAAGTTGCCCACATCGTAACTATCTAAAGGCAGAGTATGACAGTGCACGACGCCGTCGTGTGTACTAGTATTAGGATTATTCTACCGGCTTCGACCAGTTGCGTAACTTTAAAGCAGCTCAATTGTCACTTACAGCAGAGATGGACCTGGATTTGCCCCAGGCTCATCATCTGCTAACGGGATAGTTAATATTAGGCGTTGAAGATATCACCTTGATTGGTGATGAGACAATTTCAATTAAAGCGCTCAACTCGGAGAACCAAGTAGCAGCCGAACATACTCTTTGCTGTCGAATTGGGTCATTGGATCAACTCTGACGAGCTACGCCGGTGAAGATATTTCTGTCACGGGAGTAAAACCAGGCTGACTCGAATTGCAGTCAACCAATAGCGAAACTAGTTAGATGAAGCACTAAGGTAGCTAGCAGAGGACTTGACAAACAAGCGTCGAAAAAGGTACGGAAAAGTTTAATAGGTTTAATGCGTGTCGCTGTACCGGTAAATAGATGGAAATGGTGATATCTGCAGCCACATCTTGACGGACAAGACACAGCTACAAATGACATCGTTGTGCTCCCTCCCTATTTCTGAATCGAAAGTACCAGAAGAGTAAGTTGGAATTCACTCAGACCGTAGCCGTATTTATCAAAACCTTAAAATCTGCCAAATACTTAAACGAGGTCAAACGTTCGGTGAGCCAACGGACGTTGTGTTTTCATACATACGAGCCGCGTTTAACTCAATCGACAGAGCTGCTCTCTAAAGTAGTTTATTGAGGACGGGTGTCTGAGAAGTTTGGCTAAACTCCCACTCTATTTATTGTCAAAGCTCGAGCCAAGTGCGAGTGTACGGCAAGCACACGTCCATGTTCAGTATCATTAGTGGTTTGAGGCATGGTTGCGCGACAAGGCCCTTTTTAGTAAGCTTCGTTATGAGTAATATCTTGTAGTGTGCGAATCCATTGACTTCAAGCTGTTTCCGAGGGACCGACTTCGCGATTAGTACACAGATGAAATTGCCGTAATTTGCGACCTCTCGTAAGCCGCCTCGTAGATCGGAGGTGCCTGTCTCCCAATTCAGAAATACCGCTCCATCGAAGCATAAGGTCTACCTGCACTTGTGTCTAGGGGCTACTTTCACCTTAGCCTTATGCATTTGAAAGTGGTAGACAAGTTCGCTTACCTCACGAACTACTCTAGTGTTGATGGCTTAACACATGGGATCCCAAGATTCGAGTTGCTTCGGCTGATCTCTGCCATCTTAGACTCGCACTGAAGTGCCGATCCTACGAAGAGGTTACGATTAGTTCAGCTCCATATATGCGGAAACTGGCCTGTCCGCACAAAATGTGTTCAGAGACTACCTATTTCTGAGCATCAATGCTTTCGGAGCATGGCGGTGTACGATGGTAACATCAGATTAGTAATGAGGATGTTCGTCGACAGGTTTTCAAATCAAACACCCTTCCAACCGCTGAGCTGCATACTTCCACAGCTACGCTGGTTGAACAAGCAGTTGCCTTTTCAGCGATTACCTCGCTGTGACCTGTTTCCACGCGATGAAGTCGGCAAGAAGCGAAAGGTGGACAAGTTGATTTTTGAATTCAAAGTATGAAGATACCAACATAAGGTAATGGTGTTCGAGCGCCCTGGATTCACCTGCCGGGGGCGAAAATATCACTAACACACGTAGCTAGAAATACTATTGGACACTGAGAAAATCGTGACCCAATAACGAACATATTGTGAGACCATTCTCCTGTGAGGGAGTTGGGTTGTTCCACGGACTACGTGTTTCGGCTTTAGACGTTTCGTCATCAGGTTAGATATCAGCATTGCGCTTATTCATATTTACTTGTGGTACTGTTAGCCTCATTTGGTTGTATGACAAGTTGGTGGTTTTTCTGTTGCTGAATCTCAATTCTTCCATCAAATAAGTAAGGCCCTTTTCCAACTCATCTAGACTGATATTTTGTCTGTGTCATCCCTTCACTTCCACACGGTTCTACTAGTTCCCCTATGTGGACGATAGGCAAGGTAACCGGATTCAATTCGCATTGGTGTATAGAGCTAGTTGATCAACTAAACGGAAGTAAATCTGAGAACTGGATACAAATTTGAAGAGGTAGTGTACTTCATGCGTTCGACTGTGCACACTGATCACTCTCCGTGAATAACACCAGATGAACAATTAGATCAACTATTGCATCCAGAATACGATGCGTAGCGAAATCTCAGACACCTCTGGAGGACCATCATGGAACAACAGTTCAGTCCAAGTGAACAATTATAAGCCGAGCACCACAGTGTAGTGGATCAAGTTGCCACGATTCACATCGCTAGAAGAAAAAGAAATAGCAACGGCAAGATAGTGGGGTTGAATGCAAATAGAATGTAAAGCAAATGGAGACAATAAGGGGTGTTAGACTAATCAGAATGGAATGGAAAATAATAACCAAATGCAAGAAACCGAATGCAGAAACGCCGGTGACTGAGCCATGTCTAATACGGTCTCCAAACATCCTGAGACCCTCATCCACGAAGACGACAGCATTAAACAATAACAGGTTATTGAAAACAAAAAACGCCGCAAGATTACAAGCATGAGTCAGGCATGAATCTCCCACCTTTGGTGCCGATCGGCATATTCACCAACACCAGCTTGCCAAGGAAGCGACTGTACAGAGGTGTACAAACTGGATCGCATTTAGGCGATTTTTCGGTGGTATGGGAATGAGAACTCGCCAGTTCTTTGAGGACCGCATGCTGCTGGGTTCCATCAGCGAGTACAGATGAAGCAGATGCAGCTGTGAGTTGATTTGAGTTGGATTCAACACATTCAGCCACAGCTACCCGTGAAGTGCCAGTGGTGTTTACGTCAGTAGCGCACTTCTCCGCCTCACCGCAGTCATGTAGCTCATCTTCTATGTCTTGCAGGTCTGCTTCGCTGATAAAATGAACACCAGAAATAGAAACGGATAGGATATAAACGTTGTATTATGAAGCACACAGCCATTAAACTCATTGGTACGATTTGCATGCACAGTTGAAACATGAGAAGTATTGCTCGGTCAATACATTCATAAAAAGCACGGCGGAACTGGACAACAATGACGTGTCATGGCCGGTGTGCATTTGTGATGCATGGAACCATGTGGCGAAGCATAGGCCAAATGCCTACACAGACAGCGATACGAAAATAATTGGACAGAAACCACTAATCTTGCTATCATACATCACAACTGACAGTAAGGCTAGGTAACCATCCGACCACAACAGCCTTATGGAACGCGAAAGATTATAAACCGCAGGCCTTACTCGATTTGAGAACAGAACGACATCATTCCCATTGAAGTTCATCGGCATAGAAAGCCGCGGTCAGCCTGCTCAAATGAGGTCATTGAAACAACAAACACAAAAGTGATGGGACAGCTGTGTGGATGATGCGCCTCAAGTAAACGATGAAGTAATGGTAAATAAATCCTTAGTCACGAAGAAACTGTTGTGTACCCCTCCGAAAGTCAAAACTGTCTGGACAGTGATCAAAGTACCTTATTCGTGAAGCGAAAAATGATTTATACTGCACAAACATCTGTAGCACTATTTCACCACGACGGCTTCACTGGTTATTTTGCATTTCGCGTTTTATGATATCTCTCTAGGTGTATTAGCCAGCACGCGCTGTTCAGCTGTTGTGACAGGTCCAAACCGCTTTGGCCATGTCTAGAGTTACGTGGAACTTGGCATATGCTTGGCCGCTCCACTTCTTTGCCACCCGTTTGGTCAGCTCGCGTTGGTGGCGGCATGTGATTGGCCTTTCATCCTCTTGTTGCCCCTCGACTCCATTTTCTCAGTGGACCGGCCACCAATGAGTCTGATGTCGTCAGCCTGGGTTCGTTGGCGCGCACAATACGTTCGCTCTCTGCTGTTCAAGCGGATCTGTTTCTCTCTCGTCTGTAACCAAGCTGTGCTACGCCCACTGTAAACTGAACAAACTAAATCTCCAGCGGTGCGATCGTAGTCAATTCGTGTCCGTGGTATCTGATTAGCCTTCTTCCTGTTTACGATGCCAAGCTCAATAAAACGACCAAACAGGATCGCAGGCACCGTCCTGCATATCCTCACTGCGACCTGCTGCGGGACAAGCAAGTCGAAGTAGTATGATGCGTGAAGCCAATTTGAAAGCAGCAAAAATGATGGTAATATCAACCACAAGGGTGATAATTTAAGCTCCCAGCAAGCTTACAGTTGTCGCGTTGAGTAAAATCAGATGGGAACGGAGTAAACTCGAAGTTAGGCAACATTTTCAGACGTCGTCGTGAAGGACAGAGCGCAGACATTGAAAGCTGCAATGAAAAAAGGAATCTGGTGTCTCAGAGACGACTCGGTTTTAGCGTAGGCACGGAGGAAGTGAAAAAACTCTATTGAAGTACAGATAAGGGAAACGGATCCGCCTGAACAGCAGCAGCAGCAGCAGTAGTAGTAGTAATCACAAGAGTTTAGTAAATAGACAGAGTCTACAAAAACCATGAAGATTAGCAGAAGAGGGGCAGAGTCACCGCGTCATACTCATCGTGGCACATAGTTGAAGGTGAACAACACACTTCAACTAATATGCTGCAGGAAGAAAGGAACATTTTGATAAAAATTGAACAAAACACTTTTAGTTTGTTTTTCACATGCCGATTTTTCTCTTTTTATCATTTGCAATGTTTGAAGTAGTAAACATTTGTATCAATACAATTCTGTAGACAATTCTCCCAATTGTTTCGGTTACGGGCCATGTCTTCAAGCGTGTTAAGCCATTGGCGTTCCGCATCATTGGGTCCCCATCCTGGAAGACGGCAGCTGGACGCGATGTCAGTGATTTCACGTGCTGTCGCCAAATGGAAGGCTGACCACCACGTGATCGCCTCAAGCCAGGTCCTTGACGAGCAAACAGAACGAGACGCGATAGACGCTCAGGTGCCATGCGTAGGACATGACCGAGCCATCTCAACTGACGCAACAAAACCGGTTTGTTGAGGGGAATACTCGCATTCACTATGATGCGACGTCGATCGTCATTACTGTGAACCCGATGTTGCCACCGAACATGAACGGTCCTCCTTAAGCAACCGTTATCGAAGGCAGAAAGACGACGCATGTCTTCCACGCGAATCGGCCAGGATCACACCCATACAACAATACTGAACAAACAGGTGCGCTGTAAACATGGCCCTTTAGCGAGAACGAGACGTCGCAACGACGCCACAAGTGTCTCAGATTGACAAGTGCTGATCGAGCTTTAGCGATACGAAGCGAAACTTCTTTGTTGATAGTGCCGTCAGCGGAAACAGCTCCCAAGGTAGACGAAACTATCTACCTGTTCAAGTTGTGCACCTTCGAGAGTGAGCACGGGAGCAGGTGAAAGCCAATCCTTGAGTAGTAGTTTACACTTCGATGGGGTGAAGCTCATGCCATACTTAGATGCTTCAACCGCCAAACGATCCGGAATGAGGATCGTCACCAAGTAAGGCGATATCATCAGCATAATCTAAGTCGGTCGCGCGCCCACCCGGTAGAAGCTCTAGGCCAAAATGTTGCAAACCTTCTAGAGCATTCACCAGAACGTCTTCGATTGCGAACTTGAAAAGGAATGGGGACATAGGGCAGCCCAGTCGCACACCGCTACTGACAGCTAATGGAGAGAAATACTTGCCGTAGACCCTCACTCTGACGGAGGTATGAAGGTAAAGTGCTCGTAAGATGGTGGTATATTTCTCTGGCACCCCATTCTTTAGCAAGCAACGCCATAAAGCAGGTCGATCAATGGAGTCAAAAGCGGCACGTATGTCTAGGAATGCAATGATAGTGGGCCTGTGATAAATGTAGCGATGTTCGAGGAGTTGGCGGAGCGTGAAGATTTGATCCACGCATCTGCGGCTGGGACGGAAACCAACTTGCTCTTCACGGTAGTATGATTCGAGAATTGAGGATAGCCCACGAAGCACAGTGGATGCAAATAGCTTGGAGGCAACCGAAATAAGACTAATCCCGCGATTCTTAACACATGAAGTGCGAGTGCCTTTCTTGAGATTTGGGACAATAACTGATTCGCCCCAAGAGAAAGGCACTTTCTCTTCATGCCAGATTTTTCCGAACAGCGAGGTCAGCTGGTTAATGATCGCCACGCCGCCGTATCTGAACAGCTCCGGAGGAAGTCCGTCTAAGCCGGCAGCCTTGAACCGTTTCATGCGTCGAATCTCAAAGCTGACTTCCGCTCCACTGGGTGGATTCTGCGGGACAAGCCAGGGTAGACAACAAGGAGTACTGCATGTACTGATGGATGGTGGAGGCCAGTTGAATTGCAAGTGCGCGGTCCAGTGGTCCAAACGTCTCTGTTGGTTGGTGATTGGAGACTCATCCACCTCACAAATGACCTCACTGACAGCAGGCTTTCTGAGGCCAGTGGATTGAATGAGTTGGAAAAGCTTGCGAGTGTTGCCAGAGAGGATAGCAATCTCCATCTCTAAAGCACGCTCAGACCACCATGTCTCGCGATCCTTGCGTAGGCTTTGCTTGAGCAGCCGGTTGGCAGAACGGCGCCGCTCGTTGCAATCTGATTCCGCGGGGATATCTTCGCGGCGTTCGAACAGCTCCAGAGAACGAGCAGAGATCCAAGCCTTCAAGGGGCGTCGAGTTATGCCGCAGCATGACTGTCCGGAAATGATCATCGTTTTCCGTATACAAGTCCAGTGTTCCACTTCTTGCGGTGGATTGCAACTGAATGCATATGCCAGTGAAGACTGCTAGCTCGCCTGGACAGAGAAATCAATTAATCTGTTTACATCAATCTTGAGATGGTTCGTGACCCTCCAAAACACATACAGATTTTCGCGCATACCAGTGCATGACCTGAGTCAACGTAGGTGGACCAAAAGGACCTGCAGTTCAGAACATGCCACGCCATCTGTAGCTGACTGCAATGTGATCAATTTGAGACCACGGTTGTGTTGAGGAAAGGGGACGCTACGTTGAGGAATGCTCCTCCGTACGCTTGAAGTTAGTGCTCGAGAGAAACAGATGGTTGTCTTCGCACAAGGTGAAAAGTCTCTCTTCGTTATCAGAGCGGTCGTAATCGAGCACGTGGTGACCACCAAGGCGCCGTTCATATGGTAACAGGCAGCCAACCAGTGCAATGAAATCGTCAGTAATGCATTAGAATTAGTCAAGATCTGATGTAACTACCGATACAAGTCGTCATTGACCGAGTCATTACTACAAGCAGTTAGAGCGGACGCACAGATCACAAATAAGTTGTGTGTCGCCTCGCGGCGCTTGTTGACTCTACATGAACCCCGAAGCCGAAGTGCACACAGTCAATTGTTACCCGGGGATCAGTCGAGTAGTGCCGCCTCGGCCTTGCCGCTTAGTGCTATAACTGCACCGGCTGAGCTTGCTTCTGGATCTCCAGGTGCTATCTGGCTTCGTGGTCAGTGGGTGATGTCAATGTAAGCACAGAGCTGGGGTCTTGCAATCGGGTTTCTGAAAGGCAGCAGACATCAATGTCTAGGGAACCTAGGGTGCGCGCTAGACAGGTTTGTTGTCCAATCCGCATGTCTAAACGTTAAAGTACGCCAGACGGAAGGAGGATCGGGGTCGAAGGAGAGCCATTGGCTGAACTCCATGGTTCGCGGCGCAACCGGAATTGCAGCCAAATTTTTGGACACATGAATCGGGTAACGAAAAGTGAAGATTGTTGGCAAACAACCAATTGGCGTGTGATGAAGTAGCGTGAATGTCAGAAGCAGTAACGGTAGCAACTGAGCAAGTTGTAGAACAGTCCATGGTTTTGTGAAAGGGCGTGATACTACTCGGTTGCCCAAGCCGAAATAGGGAGTTGACTTAGGGGACTCCACCCCGGGCCTTTGGCTAAATAACCTACCCACAAGGCAACGGGGCGAA